GAAGAAATATAACAATGAATAGTTCGAGGGAGGCGGAAAAGAACTGAAATCGAGAATATATTTATTTTTTTTCGTATGTCTATACGTCTACTTGAGTTGTTAATATTTTACGATTTTTTTTTGGAACGGAAGACTGGTACTGACCAGCAGCCGCATGACTAGCTAACGCGCGTACTGTGCCTGGGCAATAGTCTGTTGGGGAACCGCCGCCGCTAATCACTCCTACACCCGCGCGAGCTTTGAGCAAGCTCAGACAGTGTTGTACAGCCGCCAAGTTTTATTCGATTTCACATCTCTCACAAATTCAGACTGATTGTGCTATCTTAAATAAATCAAATTATGTAATGCAGTCAAGTAGTGCATTATTAGATCTAATTTCATAGAAAAAATAAAAACGCTAAGACAATCATCGAGACTTAAGGTATAAAAATAACAAATAACTTGACATAATATAGATCAACACCGTGATTTGTATACTTAAAACCAAATTGTCTTGTCTCATTTGATCGAAATTTATAAATCGAATTATTAAAGTGCATATATAGTATACATATTAGTTATTATTTATAAATTACCTATAATAAATTATACACTCAGAGGCGTATACTGTGAGGTATCCGGCCAGGTGGAAAATCACGGTTATCGGCTTAAAAAGAAGTGGACTGAAGGTGGATTTGTGAAAAAAAAATTACCAAAATATTTAAATATTATGATTAATATAAATTTAATATTATTTAATGTTTTTGTGAATGTTTTTATTATGAATTATTATTAGTTTCTTATTTATGTATTTTTAGTCTTAACAGTTAGGTTACTACGTACATAATATGTTATGTAAAAATAAAAACGCGAGTGTGTCAGTACACATTAATCATAATATTTCACGGTGAAATTTTCACCTAAATAATCTATATAACTATAACATAATAATGAACAAAAATATGATGTATGTATTTGACATAAATTAAAAATCAGTGTGTGCCAGTACTGAGCATTGTTAACTGTGTTAATATTACGTTTATATGTTACAGAGTCCGCTGTCGCCTATGAAGTATTTACTCCAAAAACATTTAATTTATTTTTGTTGATAAAATTAATACAATATTATATCTTGATAATATTTGATTAATCAATACATTAAATATGTTAACAATCGATTAACCTACGTCCTGTAACCTTAAGCAGCTTGTATTGAACACATGGAGCTATGATTACAACTAAGTATAATAAATAAGAACAAAAATATAAATATATATAAATTTTAAAATTAAAAACTACGAATTGAAACAATCTAAAGATCTATAAAAACTTAATTTTAAGGTAACAAAAACAACAAAAAAAGCGGGTAAGTCGAGGATGTTGCTCTGCTGTACAGTAGGTTACAAATGTAATTGTACGAATGTACGAGTATATATTACAAATGTAATGGATGGAATTAAATTAGAATCCAATGATATCATATCATTGTATACGAATAATGATTCTGAGTTGAGACGATTTATGTGTCTAGGATATATATAGATTATTAAAATTTTTCGTATCTTAGATTTAAAAAGAAAATGTTTTATGAATTCTAGCTTAAAATAATTTGCGAATTTTCGTGACTTTTACGTATTTTGTCAAAATTCAAACTTTGAATGCTTATAAAAAAAAAAGCGGTAAGTCGTGGATGTCGCTCTGCTGTACAGTAGGTTACTGTAATG